ACCCTCGGGTGGTACTCGATGCTGTACTTCCTCCTCAGCAGCCACATGGCCGGCAGCCTCCACCCGTGCGCGGGTCACTTTGTGGGTTTTCTCGCTTTCTCGCATCGGTACGCGCGAGACTGACATTCTCCCTCTAGATCGCGGAGCACTACCTCTTCGAAGGGCACGACCAAGAGACCTGGTCGTACTACGGGCCTTTGAATGCGCTGGCTTACAACGGTAAAAACACCGTTTTGCCTTTCGCCATTTCCGGAATCCAGGATGTGCTGACTTTCCAGCCTTGTTCCAGTGGGTCTGCACAACGAGCACCATGATTTCCCTTCAATTCCGTGGACGCGCTTGTGGAAACTTCACGAAATCGCAGAGGAGTTTTACGCCCCCTTGCCTTCTCACCCGAGTTGGCCCGGTGTCACTTGGCGCTTCATCACCGGTGAGTCTGCGGTCTCTTCCATTCTTTATGAGGGCTGTACTTACCAGCTCGTCTGGTTTTCAGACCCCGAGGTGGGGATGTGGTGTCGCCTCAAGCGCAAAGGCAAGGGCAACACCCGCGGCGACGAGGGCGGAGGCGGCGAGGGCGCCAAAGCCAATGCCGGAGGCCTCAAGGACGACTGAAGAGCACGCCTCTCTGCCCTTTCCCACTCTCTCATCTCTGTTTCGTACCCCCGCATTATCCTTGTCTGTCATTTCTGTGTTTTATCTCGCTCCCTTGTTCTTCCGCTCTTTCCGTTCCCTCTGTGCTGCCTCCTCGTATCATTCTCCTTTGCATCTGCTTGCATTCTGTCACTCTCTTACACTATGCAAACTACTACCATCTATTCTAGAGCGCTGCCGGGAGGGCAAAGAGAATGTCTGTGGTAATGACCCAATTTGCCACAGCTTGATCGGGTGGTAGAGGAGGCAGCTTTTGGTATGCACACAGACGGAGTTCAGTGCGAAGATTAACGACTTACTTCCCAGCGCTTCGGAGGCTCACACTGGGAGCGAGAACAGGCGAAAGTGGTCTGCGAGCTGCCGGCGCCCACGCGTTCGCACGAACCGCTTCCTGGTCTCGCCCGCTCAACACTTTGTGCTAGGACAACGAGCCCGGTCCTATACTGGACCTCGACTGAGCGCTTTGCGGGCAAGACTCAGCTCTGCACTCTCTGTCGTCGCCCGGCGCAGCCGAGACCTTTGCTTCGGGTCTCATCATCTCGACGCTTCATCTTTCCGATGTCGGGCCCGTAACAGACCGCCGCCCGCCGAGCCGACTGCCGATGCAAAAGCACTCCTGATCGCTGCTCAGGTGAGTCACAGCCCCCGGACTATCGGAGCGGTGTGAGCCAAAGTCGAGCGCTTTGCGGCACCAGCTGACTTGAAGGTACACACCGCCAAGACGGGCGAGAACAAGAAGCTCACGATGCCCTAGCGCTTGCGATCAACAGCCTGGGAGGAGATCTCGACCCGAATACGTCCACCTTCAGGACTTGGTAAGAGCGATACTCCGACGTCGCGGGCGCGGTCGTCCGCCGCCTGCAAGAAGGCGTCGAGGAGAAAGCTCGCCTCCTCGAACACGAGGCAGCGCGGCTGCGCCTCGTCAATGAGGCGCTCAGCTCGATCGGCGTGAAACCTATCAGTCATCTCAGCGTCACCGACTCGTCCACCAGGGCAAGCAGGTCGGGCAACGACGGCGCTTCTGCACGCGAGCGCATCATCTCGCAGCGGACCATTCGAACATGCCAAGTGGCAGCCACAACCGTGCACAAAGCCGCCGGCATCTCGATCAGCGAGCTCTCCTGGACCATCGTCACACCGCCAGATCTCCGATTCGAAGCGGCTGCCAGGATGTGGGGCCGGCTCATCAAGGTCCTAGTCTAGGGCATCAAAGGAAACATGCCAACGAGGAGAAAGCGGCTCCGCGAACGGTGGGAGGCGACGTTCCAGGCCCTGGCAGTTTCGACGCCTCGGCCGCTTACGGTAGCAGACATGGAGGTCCTCATCAGGACTTTCCGGAAAGCGACACCGGCCAATGCATTGAACCGAGGCGCAAAGAAGCAGAAGAAACCTCTGACAGAGGAACCACCGGAACCGGTAAGTCGGGATCTGAGAATTCTCGTGTTGACTTCTTGCTCACACTCGCACGGTGCATACAGGGCGATACTTTCAGTGACTTGGAAGACTCTGACGGCAAGGTTGTGGAACTGTGTCCGGGTCAGGTGGAGGTCAGCCAGCGCGCAGGCAGTGAGAATGCGGACGACGCGAGGCGGGAGGAAATACAAACACTGAGTTGACTCGCCGGTCACTTGCTCATCACGAACTGCGTGCGTACCATGGCTCAATGTTGTGAACTGGATTCTCTGCCGGTGATTTGCACAAAGAAAGAGTAAGAGCAACTACGCAGGACTTGCGTGGAATGCTCTTCCGCCCGCCCAGAGAGCTGAGAGAGGCCTGAAGAGAGGGAGCTAGCAAAGTGCGCGCCTAAGAACATGCCGCTGACAACATGAACTTTCCATTTCTCCCTCACTGGCACGTACTATACCCGTGGGCCTTTGAACGCGCTGGCTTACAACGGTAAAAACACCGTTTTGCCTTTCGCCATTTCCGGAATGCAGGATGTGCTGACTTTCCAGCCTTGTTTCAGTGGGTCTGCACAACGAGCACCATGATTTCCCTTCAATTCCGTGGACACGACTATGGAAACTTCACGAGATCGCGGAGGAGTTTTACGCTCCTTTGCCTTCTCACCCGAGTTGGCCTGGTGTCACCTGGCGCTTTATCACTGGTCAGTCTTCTGATCACTTTATCACCTTTGAGGGTAGCCTTGACCCGCTGGCTGTGTCTGCAGACCCGGAGGTGGGGATGTGGTGTCGCCTCAAGCGCAAAGGCAAGGGCGACACCCGGGGCGACGAGGGCGGCGAGGGCCCGAAGCCAATGCCGGAGGCTACAAGGATGACAAAAGAGCACGCATCTCAACTCTCTAATCTGTGTTTCTGTACACCTGTGCCATCTTGTCCGGCATTTCTGTGTCTCAATTCGTTTTCGTCTACTTCCTGTTTTCCTTCTCATGGTTTCCGCCCTGTGACACCTGTATGTGCCCAGTTACCCGATTGTGATGAGTAATAGCTGTTCCCCCAGTCATCTACAAGCCCCTATATGGGTGCAAATCCAGTCCGGAGAGACGCGTTCTTGGCCCAATGGCCTCCTCGTCTTGGTGATGAGGACTGCAAGACGGCCAGGCGAGTCGGACGGGTTCCAGAACCGACCATACTGTCCGCCAAGGTGTGTGCCTGGTCGCGGAACCGCGTTCCGGCCACCGGTGGTGACGGAGGAATGAACGAAGGAACTCGACAAGGACTTGCGCTTCCGTGTTGCCACGTCTTTCGGACTGGCTTCTCAAACGTACAGGGACGCCGCAAATACCCCGCTCCTGGCAGTAAAGCTGGAAAATTGCACATTCCTTGGTGGGCGAAAGAGTACACGCACGATCAAGGTGTAGACCTGAAGCTTGATCGGCTTGTTGAGAGGAAACGCCCCGTCGAACGATTCCCGCGCGAGCACAGACGTTCTGCAACGCAACATGAAACAAGACAGATCAGCAAGAAGAATAACGAGGCAGAGTGCTCGACGCGACTCACGGGTGAACCCTAACGCCGACTTGTACACCAGGACGCGAGTCGCGTCGGTGAGGACAAACTATAGGCATGTGCGAAAGGTTGAATCAGCACCTACTTCCTCAAGCGCGAGCGGCTGCGAGACGAGAGAGCAAACTTACGCCGATGCTGTGTTAGGCGAGCGCATCGAAAAAAGGTCAGCGCACAGCGCGCAGGAGCTCGAGCGATGCGAGGGTTTGCAGCTCACCCGCTGCAGGTCCCTTTGCCCTTGGCCGTACGAGCCTCACCGGCGTAGTACCACTGGACGTTGCGGTAGAGCAGCATGTCTCCTCCGCCTGCCGTGGTAAAGAGAGTTGAGCGAGACTCGGGAGGGCGAGCGAGGCGGGGGAAGGCAAGAGCAGCGGTGCGAGGCGAGCAGAGCCCGGTAAGGGTGTAGCAGTAGTGTATATGCGACTCGAGTGTGCGATTTGGCGCGTGTCGAAGCTGTCGGCGACAGAGCAGGCCCACGTCTCAGTAAACTCGTCTCGCGGCGAACAAAAACGCGCCCGAGACAGGATCAGAGAGCTCACCGGTACGGTAACGAGTGAATTCGAGAGCCTGTGCGTGCTTTCGAGTCGCTTGAACGGCGACGCGTCGGCGACTCCGACGCAGCGCGCTCGGCGCGAAACCAAAGCTGCGACGGAAAGGGGCGATTCGACCGACATCCCCCTTTCCGTCGACTCGCCTCTAGACTGCCATTGTTGATCCGGCTGTTGACGCGGTTCGGTCGCTCGTGTCTCCTGCTGTCCACTCTGAGGATGTGAGCGCGGCAAGTCCGGCTACGGAGGTGAGAAGCAGACTCACCCTTGCCCTCGAGACCGCAATCTCGAGCCATCTCGAGCAAGCGCCTCCCCATCCCCTTCACGTCGAGGTGATAGCTTGAAGCACCAACGACGAGCATGCTGGCGAGGAACGGGCGCGAAAGGTCACATTCCGGACGGCAGTCGGGAAGGTGATGAGACGGGGTTTTCACTCTATCCGGACCTGGGGCTTTCGGCACGGAAACGTCGTCAGCTGTAGACTATCATGAGCTTAATGTATCCACCCACGGAGAGGTTGGGTGTCTGCGGTGACACGGTCTCCGATCCGGAGGACGTCGTGCTTGGCCTTCTCTTCCTGACGACGAGTTGTGGGACGGCGGCGCGAGCAAGACGGGGACCGGATTCGACCATACTTGCACGCCGCAGTGCGTGACTAGTCTCGGAACGGCGGTCCAGGCACCGGGTCGATCGAGGAAAGACTTGGAAAGACGCCTTCTTCTCCCTCGACGACGGCTTTTGCTTCCGTGTTGGCGTCTTTCGGACTTGGCTCGGAGTTCAGTCAAGTACACGCTAATGTGTACTCCAGAATCGCCACTATAGTGTACGATTTTTAGCCCCCGTGGCCCAGTGGTACGGCATCTGACTTCTAATCGACTTATGTTATCAGAAGATCGCGGGTTCGATCCCCGCCGGGGGCTTTATTCTTTTTTCCGCCCCCAAACCTTTCAAAGAAGACATCCTCTTCCTCTTCTTTCCCCCAGATTGCATGCTTCAAGGGTTTAAAAGAACCATTGTTGCCCACACAATGAAGAGACAACAAAGAGGACTCTCCGGCGACGAGTGTTACAATTCTCCTTCTCCACGGGACAGCCTTGCTCCTAATTGCAGAGGGTAGAGTTAGATTCCCTCGTGCATGGTAAGCCGCTCGGACCCATAGAGTGGTGAAGCCAGTGCGTCTGGGTCCATTTCAAGCGGCCTGATAAAAGGGTGCCGAACAAGAAGCCTCATATGAGGCAAGCCAGATTCACTCTACTCTCATACACCGTCTGATGCATGTGCCCGGGGTCACAAGTCACTGTCCCGGGTTGTTCTGGAGTTGTGAGGACCTTGGCCCTTTAGCGCAAGTCGGGGTTGTGTAGGTCCTGACCATGAATGTCTCGCGGAGTGCGTATGTGTGACTGCCGATGTCCTCCCAGATACGCCTCCAAATGGGCTCTAGTCTCGTCTCTGCACAGCGGCATTCAAAAGATCAGGAAAAAAAGGGGGTTCCAATCGAGGTCGACTGCAGACGCAGTTCTTTGCTCAATAGCGGACCCCACTCGTAAGGCTCAGAGGAATCTACAGTCCAGTATAGTCCGTGTCCTCAAAAGCGGTCGGCCTGGCCGCCCGCGTCAGCCTTCTAGTCTCAGGTGAACTGAGCCTGTTCTGCAGCCGCAAGATCTCCCAGCCGGAGGAACACTCTCTGGAAAGCATCCTAAACAGCCTCAAGTCCGCACTCCGCTGCACCACAGCCCGCAGCGAGGCGGACGCACAAAGGCCGCGCGCCGAGACCAAAAAGTCCGAACTTCAGGAGTCGGCACCCCCACCGCCACGCACGTGAGAAGGCCCGACCGAGGGAGATTTCGAGGCGCGCGCGGACGTAGAAAGCGGACTTTGAGAGTCGCGCGCGTATCATGCGCCATGATGGAAAGAACCCCCTTGAGCCACGCACCACCCGAAAGAGGACCGCGAGCGAAAGGGTGATCGCGACGAGACAGGGCCGCCGTGCTTCTTTCCCTTTGCTCTGCGCTCGACATCTCGCCAGCTCGCTTTTTCTGCAGCGCGCGCGCTCCAATCGAGTCCAAAGTACTCTCGCATAGAGCCTAGCGAGCCCAACCGGCGCCAACGCGCACATACCCAAGTTCAAGCGTCACTCCGCCCAGAAACTCGCGTGCAGAGGCGCGCACCTCGTCCGGCCCACGATGAGTTTGCGGACGCTCCTGAACGAGCCGTTGCCGCCTATGCGACTCGACTTTGCGCAAGACGCCCGCGAGGGCCCTGCTGCACCCGAACCACTGGGAAGCGAACAGCAGCACCGCCTCGGTCGGACCTCATCAACGCGAGACGACGCATTGTCGGCCTGGCAGTACGTGCTGCAGCTCGGATACGCGGAGAATGGACGCGTCCTGACTGCTCCCGTGACTCGACTCTAGCGTGGCGCCTGCTCGGTCGGTGCCGCAGAGCGATCCCAGCCTCGCCGCCTCGCTCGCCCAGTCGGTCGAACCCGTCAGCGTAAAGCAGGTCTTGCACACGACTTCGCTCCTCAAAGTGGAACGCATCATCGAAGGCATGCGCACGGCAGTGCGAGCGGGTGCGTTCCCCTGCTGACCTCGCCCTGAGAGCAGCACCCGGTGCCCCGCTGCGTCCCGGGGCGATAGGACTGACCACGAGACACACCCGCAGTGCCCGACTTTGAGCAGGTCCACCGGCAATCGCAAATCGCCGTCGCCAAGGCGTACAACGCGGCCGAACCGGCTGCCGCTCGTACCGCCCTGTGGAAGTCCTGGGCTCGGTTCGCACGCGTCGCGCAATACCTCGACATGCCCATCTACCCTATCCAGCCCGACCAAGTCGCTCTCGCCCTGGCGGTGTACACCCCGCTCCCGATCCGGAACCAGTTGCGCCAGTATGCGTCCGTGCGGGACACGATGCCGCTCGACGGCATCGGCGAGATGATGAGCGCCCTCAACTTGGCGGCGCGCGCGACGAGGCACCTCTGGCCCGATATCGTCTGCTTCATCAGGGCTCCCGAGCATTACGAGTCCACCCGCGAGGTGCTCAACTTCATCGATACCTACTCGTGAGTCTACCCTCTTGAGCCACCAGTTTGTGATCCTTGGCCGCGATCTGATCCCCCCTCTGCAGTCCAAATCAGGCGATGCCCACGAGACCTCCGCCACAGAGCGACTTTTACAGCGCGGCCGTAGCTCGACAAGCTCGAAGCCCCATCGAGCTCACGCGCGAATCCTCCTCGACCCGACCGCTCCTCACGCACGTGCCGCCCGCCCCGCCTCCGCCTCAGCACATGACTCCTCCTCCCGACCAATTCATCCAGCGTGCGTGTCTCCCGCTTTACAGAGAACTCGGATCGGCTCTCTTGCTGACTGACACTCTGGTCTGTAGCCGCCCGCAAGCAGCCTCGAAAGCTCAAGGCGATCTGCGACGACTTGCCTTCGATCCTTCGCACGCTCTCCCAGCAACCACACGGTATGTGTTCACACTCGAGCCACGTCGACCCGCTCGGCTAACTCAGACTCACCGGCAGACCCGGCCGATTTCGACTCGGCGCAAGAGCGATTCTCCGCGGTCAACACGCCGCTCTACGCTCCTCGCGCCGAAAACCTCTTCAAGACTGCCGTCGAATACACCAAAGTCTCTGCGCTGCTCGAGTTCCCGACTTATCCGATCACGACCCTCAAGCTCGCCGTCTTTGCTCTCACGATGACGCCTGGCCCGCTCGGCAAACTCCTCGACAAGGCCGCGCCGCTCGTCCCGGACCAGCGCGAATCGCCTCGTCTGCCTGGACCCGAGTTCGAAGCGATCCTCAAGGACGTGACAACCGTGTACAAGATCACGCGCGCCGAGGACGAGAATGTGCCGACAGCGGAAACGACCGAATGGTTGAAGTGGTGGGACGAGCTGACGGCGGATTGGAAAGGCGCGCTCAAGAGGTGCGCTGCTACGCTCTCTTATTAAACGTTATGCGCCCGCCGCTCAGCTGACCCGAGACGGACCGACGGCAGGCGAGAGGAAAGTCGACCTTCTCAAACCGCTCGCAAGCGCACCAAGCTCTCGCCTTCTCCCGGTACGCTCCCTGCACGTGTCGAACTAGTCTTACTGCCATACTGACATCTCTGAGACCGCGTCAGCCGGTTCCGACGCGTCCGTCGCGTCGACGTCGAAAGTGACAGCCTCCAAGGCAACCAAGACTGCCCGCACCCGGATCAGCGCGACGGAACCTCCCTCTCGGTCCGCTTCACCTGCCGCTGCTGGGGGGCGTGCCGGCTCTGTCAAAGCGTCGACAAGTCGAGGCGGCAAGAAGAGCGAACCGGCGGGCCAAGCCAGATCAGCGCAGGCCGCGCCGCCGACTCCGATCGTCTACCCCGTCTTTATCCCTCAGCAGAAGGGCAAGTTGCCCGCGGACAGGCGCGAGCCGCCGCTGCCGCCGATCATGGACTCGCCGTGGTACGTGCCGAAGAAGAAGAAGGAAAAGGTCAAGGCGGTCGATGCCGCGTCGGATTCGGGGCTGAGCGAGTACGAGTCGAGCGAGGACGAGGAGGAGGCGAGGAAGCGCGTCACTCGCTCTGTCGCACTGCACCGACCTCGGCGGGGTGCCAACGATATGGTCGTCTGGGACGTCGCGACCTTTTGGGAGTGAACCGGGGATTCGCTCCTCTTTCTTTCTTGCACACTTCTCCTGGTGATCTCTGCCTTGTTGTAGCATGATATGCATGACACGAACATACTCGTTTCTTCTACTCGCCCGCAGTGTGGAAGTCATGCGCGCGGACTGATACTGACACTGGCCGAAACGGTGCGGAAGGATTTCGGGGAAATGGTCGCCGCCGCCTTATTCTCCTTCTCGCGCTGCCGCGTCCGCTCCGCCTTTGCGGCGGCCTTTGCGGCCTTCACAGCTTTGACAGACGAGCGTCCTTGCAAGCGAGGATCGCCGGCGTCGAAGTAGACAATCTTGCCGGGACCGATCTTGCCGCGTTGAATCCGATAAAAGGCGGCGACGGTCTCGGCATCCGCTGCCGACATGGAAGTCTCGAGACGCAGGTGCGAGATGGACCTGTCCTTCTGCTTCTCTTTCCCTTTCCTCCGCCTGTTATTGGGCGGGGGAGAGGCGTACGAGGATGAAGTCTGAGGAGGTACGGGAGGTTGGCGGAAGCGAGAGGGCGAAGCAGCTGCGCCGCGTCCGGCGGCCTTCATGTTGAGAATGTCGGTCGAGTCTGACAGGACGGTGGACGGTAGTCGAGGTGCCGACATGGTTTCGCGCGGAGGAGAAGGAGGACGCCAGAGCTCCCGAGTCGGAACGACTTGCCGACGTTCTCGCCGCACTTGTACCCCCTCAGAATCGACCGTCGTTGAGGATGAGCCACCGCCGAGCAGGTCGGACGCCGACGCTGTTGTCGGGCGCGAGGACCTTTGCGCGTCACTGAGCCGGAGCGGCGACCCCAGCCCGTCGTCCCTGTTCTCGTCCACGCTTGCGGCATCGTGGGGCAGAACGTCCTCATCCGTGACGTCGTCGACGGCGGCAAGGAACGGAGAAGGCATTCGGTTGCCGTGAGGCCGCAAGAGGCCGGTGCCGAGCTTGGACATGCGGCGGGAAGCGTCGGACGAGAGCGAGGCGAATTCGAGCTGGCGAGGAACGGTGGGCGCAGCGTCAACGGCTTGAGGCACCTCAGAGCTCGACGACTGCCGCCGCTTGGAGAGAACCGGTCCAGCGAGTTCGGCGGAGATATCTCGTGCTCTACGCTTGTCGTTGTTGTCGTCGTCATCCTCCGAGTCAGACAAGACGATCACGCCGGCCGGCTGCTGCTGCTGCTGCGGAGAGACCAACGCGGTCTCGTGCCGCTCGGCCGCCTTCTTGAGCCACTTGAGATGCTCCTTGATGATACGGTCGTCGCCTTCGACGTTGAGACCTCTCGCCCAAGCG